TTGCATTGGCGCACTTACTTTTATGTTCATATCTTATATCGCCTTTGTATATTGCTTGTTGATTATATTGCCCACTATCTAGTTTAGATTGTTTACCCTTGAGTTTATATATCCTTGCACATACATTGCCTATATCTCTTTGTTAGGATATATCTTGTTGTTCATATTGCTTATCCTAGCTCATATACATTGTTGTATTTCATACTTGCTAGGATAACTTATTAATTAAGTTTTAATTGGCATAAAATCGGATTAGATTAGCATAAGACCCTAATCACCCCCCCTCTAGGGTCTAACAATTGGTATCAGAGCTTGGTGCTCTTTGATTTAAGGTCTAATCGCCTTGAGTTAAAGATCCAAGTTAGCTTATTGTGCTAATCTAATTTTGAGCTTTATTTGTATCTTGCTTGCCTTTTATATTATGGATATGCATGGTTTAGGTTATGCCATTAATATTTGATCTTAAAAGCAAGCATGTAGAATTGAAATCCGATCATGAGAAGCTAGTGTCCAAATTTGACATCATTGAAAATGAAAATATAATGCTTAAAGAAAACAATGATAAATTAAATTTGGAGAATGAAAAATTGACCTCATCCATTTCTAGCTTAACTCATGCAAATGATGCCATGCTAGAAGTAGAATGCATTAGAAATGAATTTGATTCTTTTAAGAATAACCATACATGCTCTACTTCTATTATCAATGATGTCGTGCCTAATGTTGAGTTGAATCTTATCAAAAATAGCATATCATCTTTAGATTCAACATCAACTTCATGCATTGATAATCATAAGAAGCTTATGAACATGTGTGTCAATTTTGAGTCTAAATCATCCACTGATTATGTACACATATATAGCAAAGTTTATAAATGCACTATTTGTGGTCGTAAAGGCCATTTGTCTAAATTTTGCTATGATGCACATAAACCTATAAAATCAAATGTTCCTTGTGCATCTCATCAAGCTTTTTCATCACATACTCATGTACATGCACATAATGTTCATCATAAGCATGCACATGTGTATAAATGTGATCTATGTGGTCGGTTTGGCCATTTGGCAAAGTTTTGCTTTGACTTGAAAAAGAATTCTAGTTTGCCAAATGTTTCTAGTAGACCACATATTTTTAAATGTGATGTTTGTGGTAGATTTGGCCATTTGGCAAAGTTTTGCTATGATTTGAAAAAATGTTCAAACTTGCCAAATTTTTCAAATAAACCACCTTTATTTAATGATGTTTTTCATTTGCGAAATAATTTAAAAAAAAAACTTTATTTGTAAATGATTTCCGTGCACGCCCACTTGGTCAACACAAATCATTTAACCTTCTTCATTGCACATATTGCAATCGGAAATGTCATATGTACAATTTTTGTTTTGACCGTGTTAGTGCACCACATATGCCCAAGAGGGTTCATAACCCTAGGGCTTTGAGCTTGAATGATAGGGGTCATGTCCCTAACCAATCCGGCACCAAGAATGCTTGGGTGCCAAAATGATTTTAAACCAAGAATTTTAGTGTTTTTTATTTTTTTTTCTTTTCTTGGTTTTGTAAAATGATCTTTGAAAATTTTTATGTGAAAACAAACTTTCTTTGATAAAATTCTTTTGTCTTCATGACTATGAGTTTTAATTTTTATGAGAGGTTTATATTTATGTAACTCTCCGGGTTTATTAGGTGTTTATTCCCAAATCATGTTTACCGGATGCTAATATGATTATATGGGTTGGAACAAGCTCAAGAGCATGATATAATTGTTGCCTCTCTTAAAAAGTGTGTTTTGATTTGTTGCTTTTGAATTCATTATAATTCACTTATATGATGATATTTATGTGTTTGTGCTTATGGATCATCTATTCGTGCCTTATAATGTATTCTATGAGTGGTTTGATCAAGTCTTACAAAAGAATTTTTTTTGTTGATCAAACATCATTTTTGGTTTAAATGGTTGATTTATGATTTCATTTGGTTGATTTGTTTTCATTCGAAAACTCTTTTTGCATGATTCTCATGTTTTCTCTCTTTTGATTTCATAAATCTATTTTTTATACATGGTTTTTAGGCTTGTATTTTGAGACACCTATTTATCGTGACATATCATTACGTGTTCTCCTTATCTTGTTTGAATGTGAGTGATTGTTAGCATATCTTTTATGCTTGCTCACATATTGCTCACATATGTTTGCCATGATCTTCATTGCATATATTCTATATGGCTTTTTGATAGGGGGAGCAATCCCTATATATATTCTTTTTATACTCACCTATGCTTATTGATAGGGGGAGCTTTCGCTCCCTTATTTCTTTTGTCCCCTTTTTGATGTTGTCAAAGGGGGAGAAATATTGTGAGTATACATTTTTCTTGTTTATTTTATATGCATATGAATTGTAAATTATATATTCATTTCCTTCATGCATATATTTCTTTTTGTAAATTATTTATCATCATCAAAAAGGGGGAGATTGTTCACGGGAATTATGTGCACCAACCTCCGGAGCATCTGCATCCTTCGGTTACGTCATGGCCGTTCGAGACTTGGGGAATGGACATCGTTGGCCCGATAAATCCTCCATCAGTCAAGGGCGACCGGTTCATCTTGGCAATTACCGATTATTTCTCCAAATAGGCTGAAGCAGTTCCACTCAGAGAAGTGAAAACGAGCAACGTTATTGGATTCATCAAGCACCACATCATCTATAGGTATGGCGTTCCAAGACGAATCATACATGACAATGGTCCTCAATTTGTCAGCAACTCCTTCATAAGGTTCTGCGAAAAGTTTAAAATTCAGGATATCTCGTCGACGGCTTATAATCCTACAGCGAATGGATTAGCTGAAGCCTTCAACAAGACTATCATCAAACTCTTGTCAAAAATCGTGAAAACCAACAAACGAGACTGGAATGACAAGCTTGGCGCAGCTCTATGGGCCTATCGGACCACGGTGCGCACACCAACGGGAGCGACCCCGTATTCACTGGTATACGGATGTGAAGCTGTTCTTCCATTGGAGATCCAAATACCATCTCTTCGGATCGCTCTTTCAACCCAGATGTCGACCGAAGAACAACATCAGAAGCGCCTCGAAGAACTCGAGAAGCTCGATGAAGAGCGCATGGTGGCTCAACAGCATATCGAGTTTTACCAAGCTAGAATCTCTCGAGCCTTCGACAAGAAGGTTCGACAAAGGATTTTCAAAGAAGGGGATTTGGTTTTAGCCGTAAGACGGCCTATGATCCTTAACTCCAAGAAGAAGGGTAAATTTGAACCCAAATGGGAGGGACCATTCGTAGTGGAGACAGTCTACTCGAGTGGCGCCTATCGCCTCGTCACCAAAGACGGCGACCGGCTCATGATGCCGATAAACGGCAAATTCCTGAAAAGATACTATCCTTGGTATCTTTTTGGATAACCAATGCATCGGAAAGTTCCCGGAAGAATACCACATGGGTACTCTTAGGGATAACCCGGTCGTTGTGGAATCGACGAATAAGGAATCTACATTCGAACTCTGAAGGTCAGAATGTTTCTTCTTATTCTCGACAAAATTCTCTAACTCTTATGAGTTATTTTTGTGAGATGAGATCTAATCTTCTGATAGGTTAAATCTTTCCTCACCAAACCATCCGCTGATCAAATCAAACGACAGTGGATCCACCAACATTTTCATCTGCCAGTCATTGGCGTTTCTCAGACTCAACGTGTTAGGTCAGAATCACCTAGCTTTAAAGTCCCCCTTTGAGTGATGATATGAGGTAGCACTTTGTTTGCTACCCGTATCCCACTTCCTTTGCTTTCTGGTCAAACCTATAAAAGTTAGGGCCAAAGCCAAAATCCCCTCTCGATTCCTCCATTGAACGAGAGGTCCACTTTCAAATCGAGTGCTTCCTACAGTTAGGGCCAAAGCCAAAATCCTCTCTCGATTCCTTCCATGAACGAGAGGTCCACTTGGAACAGTCAAACCTATAAAAGTTAGGATTGTTTCCGATCTCGCTTAGTCAAGCCTACACATAGTCAAGACTAAAGTCGAGTCACTCCTTTTCGATAAACGAAAATCCACCTTTGTCCCCTTTTCCACCAAACCTATAAAAGTTAGGGTTGAAATTGGGTCTTCTCCTCAATGAATGAGGGGTTCTTTGAGTTCAGATGACCAATCCTATAAAAGGTAGTGTCGTTCGAACCTTTCCGATTCTCGGAGTGGAGATCCCACTCTTAGTTTCATCCTGCAGGATTCTGGGGGTGGAGATCCCACCTCGAGTTTCCTTTCCGCCTGAAGATAGAATATAAAATTCTTCCTCTTCAGCACCGGGAGATAGAATATAAAATTCTTCCTCTCCTCGGACCTTTCCGATGCTCGGAGTGGAGATCCCACTCCCAGTTCATCCTCCCGGATTCTGGGGGTGGGGATCCCACCTCGAGTTTCCTTTCCGCCTGAAGATAGAATATAAAATTCTTCCTCTTCAGCACCGGGAGATAGAATATAAAATTCTTCCTCTCCCGTGTCCTTTCCAGCTAAAGATAGAATATAAAATTCTTCCTCTTTAGCACCGGGAGATAAAATATAAAATTCTTCCTCTCCCGTTTCCTTTCCAGCCGAAGGAGGCCAAGCAAAATTTAACCGTCAATTTATGGCTGTTGTGCAACACATAAAATTGTGAAAGAGAGAAGATCTCCTCTTCTGTTTCTCTCTGGCCTTGTCTAAAGAAGCCGTTGATTTCTTGGCTTCAACAGTTCTCTTCGAAAAAAGACTGCCATCTTTCTTCACTGCAGCAGGTTCCTCTTTCCTAATGTTTCCTAATTGTGCTCTCAGATTCCCAAAGTCTTCACTCTCCTCTGGCTTTCTCAGTTTGGAAAATTCGTTCTTTCTTCTGATCACCAAGTTCTGCATATTCGGTTGCCTCTTCACTTTCGTTATCTGCGGCAGAAATATCTGATACTTTTGCAGATTCCATCACCGGCGCTGTCTCTACCTCTATATTCTTACTCAAATTTTCAGGCATCAAATTTGAAGTGTAATCAGTTTGAAGAGATATCTCAAATACTGCCTCTTCGAGTCTCGCATCGTTTCCATCATCCTTTTCTTCTTCATTAGGCTCAAGGGCATTAAGTTGTATTTCAAAACTATCTGTGTCAACATCATCCATCTTTAGTTCTTCTAATAGTTTGTTTGATTCGGTCTTAGAAGCTTCTTTCGCTCCATTTGCAAAGTCTTCCATCATTAATTTCTCAATTTCCGAGTCAACAGCATCTAAATAAGCAACCGATTGGCCTGCTTCTAACTCTTTTTCGTTCTCTATCTTGGTCATTATGATCTTCAATTACTTGGATACTATTAATCACCGGTACCATGTCTCCTATTGAGTTGCTGTCTTCAACTGGTAAATCATCTATCTTGTTTTCTTGGTTGATGTTTGCTGGAAGACTTTGATTCTGCCTCTCTACTATACTATCTACAAACTCATCGGCTTCCTCTGTTGATTCTTGAGCCAAAATATTTGCCTCTTCTTCCACTGAAATCATCAAATTATGATTTTAGAAGAAGATAAAAAGTAGTGATTAGGGTATTCATCACAGGCTGCTTTCGAATATATGATAGGTGATCATACACACAATCAAAAATTTGCACAAAGACTGATACATGGACATATTTCTGCATCAGTATCCCATCTGTCTGTTATTGTTTCATCTTTTTTTTTGTAACTTAATCTCTATGCCTACGTAGACTAGAGTATAGATAATTAATTTGTGTAATATGGCTGAAGGTACGCTTTACTTCACCTAAAACCTGAACTAGGCAAATAAAATTCTAGTTAGTTCAAAGAAAAAAGATAAGAGAGCTTCACAAGTTACTGACCTCTTGCTTCATGTGTTTGATTATGAATAAGGACATCATCTTTTTCTAATGACTCATTGTCAGCTGAAGGAGTCTGCTTATAAACAGCCTCAATTTCTCTTGGCAAAGTTAGCTCTGTATCATTTGAGAAACCCACATGTTTGGAACATTCATTTCCTCTTCTGCATCAATTTCCTGCAATTCACAAGTTCCTCTTCTGCATCAATTTCCTCCAATTGAAAGAAGTTCAGTTATCCCACTTAAACCATTATTTATTTATTTATTACATCAGGGTTTGTTTCAATGTAAATTGTAACCATTGACAATGTTTACCTTCATTTTTCTAGTCATTTGATTTAAGAACTCCCCAAATTCCACGTTCTCATTGCCCTCTACGTTAAATTTGCTCATTATTTGCAATAACTTTTCTTCGTTAAGATCCTGGCCTAATGATTTGATTACAGTGGCTAGTTCCTCCAACGCAGAGCAACCTTCAAAGCCAATAGGATGAATAAAAGTTAGTAGTCAGAGAAAATCTAGTCCAAGATATTAACTGGTGTCAAATCAAAATTTTCAAAGAGAGGCAACAATCGACGGAGAGTTAGGGAACCTGAGATCGGGGGCGGCGGTGTCGTGGCCGAGTCGTGGCGGCGGCGGCGTCGTGGTTGGGGGCGAGACTTGGGGGCGGCGAGACTCGGTGGCTTGACGGAGTCGGGGCTGGGCTCGGCGAGACTCGGGGGCGTGGCGGCGTGAGAGAGATCCCTCCGAGCGGCGTGAGAGATCGAGATCCCTCCGAGCGGCGTGTGAGAGATCGAGAGAGGGAGGAGGGAAGTTGGGATCTGAGTTGGGTTTGTTTGTTCTTTTGTTGAGAGAGAAAATCGGAGACATTTATTGAGAGCAAGCTTTTTGGGAAGTTGGGGCTGAAATCGCGGTGTTTTTTTTCGAAAAAACCCAAGCAGCGCACGGGGGGAGCGCTGGCCAGCGCTTCCCCAGTTTTCTCTATTGGCGTTCTTATTCTTGTTTTCATATCTTATATCGCCTTTGTGTATTGCTTATCATATTACCCTATCACTTGTGTAGATTGTTTATTTTACCCTTGTGTTGTTTATATATCCTTGCATATATACATATTCATCATATAGGATATATCTCTTTGTTTGCATTGCTTATCCTAGCTTATATATCTTGTGGTATTTCATATTTGCTAGGATAACATATTAATTAATTTTAATTAGCCTTTAATCGGATTAGATTAGCATAAGACCCTAATCACCCCCCCCTCTAGGGTCTAACAGTTTACATTTTCGTGTTTTGAACTATTTTTGCAAAATAATGATTTTTCATAAATGGGAATTGCAATTTGAAAAATTCTTTTTGTAACATGTTCATTTACATGTTTATATACATTTCCCAAAGTTTCATAATTTTCAGAAGTCAAATGAATATTTTACAAATTGTTTAAATGTGTTAAAAATCAGTTTTTATATATGTCAGTTGTCGGTCGACCGCACCGGTCGACTGATCATTTGATCTTTCAGTACTGGGCGACAGAGAGTCTGTCGGTCGACCGGTCCGGTCGACCGATAAAATTTTCCGGTCGACCGATAAAATTTCCGGTCGACCGACAGTGACTTTTTCAGCTTCCAACGGCTAGTTTTCCTACCGTTGCTTGGGGCTGTTTTTGTCTTTTGCTTGGGTTTTTGGCTGAGTTCTTGGGAGGCTATATATACCCCCATTACATTCAATTCTAGCATATAACAAGAGAATGGTTTAAAAGATTTTAACAAGGGTTTAAACTTGTTTAGTGTTTGTTTAAGTTTGGTTTAAGAAGCTTTTAAGCAATTGAGGGTTTGAGTTTGTGAATTCAATTTCACAAGAGCAAGTGGAGATCATCCTTTGGTGTTTGAGCATTCACTCTTCTCCTACTCTCTTGTCATCTTTAGAGAAGTGTTTCTAAACTCATCTAGCAATTTATTATTTTGATTATAATTTCCATAAGCTAGATTTATATTGAGTTTAGTTTAATCGTTTTATTGATACTCTTTGTTCACACACAACCTATTGAGCTTATTGTATTTACATTCATAGTATAATTTAGGGTTGTGGGTTTGTGACATTGAGAGTGAGCTTAATTGAGTTCTCACCTTATTTTGAGAACAATCATTTGTCATAATTGTGCTTTATTGTGAGGATTCACTTGTAATACACTTGTACACCGAGAGAAGTGTGTGGTGAGAGACGGGGTCGAATCCAAGAGGAGTGGCGTCGGTTGACGTGCCTAGGGAGAGGTTGTAACCGAGCACTTGAGGAGGAGGACACGTCGCCATTGTCTCATTATTTATATGATCCACTATCTAGTTCACATTGTTTACCCCTTGTGTTAGTTTATATATCCTTGCATATATCATATAGTATACCTCTTTGCTAGGATATATCACCTTGTGTATATTGCATATTCTTGCACTTAACTCTTTGTATATCTATCTTGCAAGAATACAACTTGTTAATTAGTTTTTAATTGGCATTTAATCGGATTAGATTAGCATAAGACCCTAATCACCCCCCCTCTAGGGTCTAACAATTGGTATCAGAGCTTGGTGCTCTTTGATTTAAGGTCTAACCATCTTGAGTTAAAGATCCAAGTTATCTTATTTGTGCTAATCTAATTTTTAGCTTTATTTGTATCTTGCTTGCATACTTTTACAAATTATGGATATGAATGATGCATCTTGTTTAGGCTATGATTCTAGTATTGCTCCTAAATTCAATGCTTTCCCTTATGCTCAATGGTGTTTTAGATTCAAAATATTTGTTCAATCTAAAAATATCGATTTATGGAAAATCATTGATTGTGCTTATATTATGCCCACGTTGGAGAAATCCAAGTGGAGCAAACATGATAAAAAAATGTCTATTATGAACAAGCTTATGTTAGAATTTTTATTAAATGCATTTGATTCATTTATGTCTAACAAGCTTGATTCTTTTGATAGCGCTTATACATTATGGAAATTCATAGAAGCGTATCAAGGAGATTTTGAGGCGATCCAACAAGCTTTGGAGGATCCCGCTTCAAATTCAAAAGGGGCATCATGCACACGGCCACTAGGCGATAGCCCTAGTGAGGTTTGCGAGTTCGAAACCATAAATGATTTACCTAATGATGAACTTGCTTATGCTAGTGAAAAATTATTACATATCTTTAACAAATTGCAAAATGATTTTATTAATTTACAAAGCAAGCATGAAAATTTGAAATCCGATCATGAGTTGTTAGCATCTAAGTTTGAAACTATTTCTAATGAAAATGTGATCCTTAAAGAAAACAATGAAAAATTAAAATTGGATCATATTTCTTTAACTTCAAACGTTGCTAGTTTAACTCATGAAAGAGATAATACCATGTTAGAAGTAAAGAACATACAAAATAATACTGCTTCCTTTATAAATAATTATTTATGTTCTACTTCTAAAAATGCATATGTGCCTAAAAATGAAGATTTGAATCTTATGAAAAATAGTATTTCATCTTTAGATTCAACTTTAAGAACATGCATTAATAATCATAAGAAGCTTATGGATATGTGTGCTAAGTCAAAATCATCCACTCATTATGCACACATGTATAGCAAAACTTATAAGTGTTCTATTTGCGGCCGTCAATGTCATTTAGCTAAGTTTTGCTATGATGCATACAAACTTAAGAATTTTAATGCTCCTTGTGCATCTCATGTAGCTTCTTCATCTTGTACACTTACACATTCACATGCTCATTCTCATAAAATTCATCATAAGCATGCTAGTGTGTTCAAGTGTGATTGTTGTGGTAGATTTGGCCATTTGGCAAAATTTTGCTATGATTTGAAAAAGACTTCACTTTTGCCAAATTTCTCAAGTAGACCACATTTGTTTAATGATGTTTCTCATTTGCAAAATAATTTTAAAAGAAAATCTTTATTTGTTTGCTCCAAAAAGACCACCTTTGTTTAATAATATTGCTCATTTGCAAAATAATTTTAAAAGAAAATCTTTATTTGCAAATGACTCCCGTGCACGAGCTAATGGTCCACAAAAACAAATGGATCTCTTTCATTGCACAAAATACAATCGGAAGGGTCATTTGAATGAATATTGTTTTGACCATGTTAGTGCACCATATATGCCTAAGAGGGTTCATAACCCTAAGGCTTTGAGCTTAAATGAATACCTAAGAGGGTTCATAACCCTAAGGTTTTGAGCTTAAATGATAGGGGTCATGTCCCTAAATCTTTTGGTACCAAGATTTCTTGGGTACCAAAACAAGCTTAAATGATAGGGGTCATGTCCCTAAATCTTTTGGTACCAAGATTTCTTGGGTACCAAAACAAATTTAATTTTCAAACTAAGAATTTTAATGTTTTTTTTTCTTTCTTTGTCTTGGTTTTGAAAATTATGCTTTGAAATCTTTTTATATAAAAACAATTTTTAATTGATAAAATCTTTTGTTTTCATGATTATTAGTGTTGATTTTTATGAGAGGACTATGTTTATATAACCCTCCGGAGTTATTAGGTGTTTATTCTCAAACATTGTTTACCGGGTGCTAAAAATGTTCATATGGGTTGATACTAGCTCAAGAGCTAGATATAATTGCCTCTCTTGATTTTTTAAAATCAATGATGATTTGATTTTATGCTCTTATATGATTTAATTGTGATTTATGATTTCATTGGTTGATTTGTTTTCATTTGAAAACTCTTTTTGCATGATTCTCATGTTTTCTCTCTTTTGATTTCATAAATCTATTTTATACATTGGCTTTTATGATAGGAGACAATATGTTCATCTTGATATATTTATATATGTTCTCATTATCTTTTGTATGTGGGTGATATTTAGCATATTCATCTATGCTTACTCACATATGTTTGCCATGATCTTCATTGCATATATTCTATATGGCTTTTTGATAGGGGGAGCAATCCCTATATATATATATATATATATATATTCTTTTTATACTCACCTATGCTTATTGATAGGGGGAGCTTTCGCTCTCTTAATTCTTTTGTCCCCTTTTTGATGTTGTCAAAGGGGGAGAAATATTATGAGTATATCTATCTTGTTTGTTTATATGCATGTGAATTACAATTCATTTCATTTCATGCATATATCTTTTTTCGTAAATTGTTTGTCATCATTAAAAAGGGGGAGATTGTTGGCCTTCTTGTTTTGATGATGTTTAACAAACAATTTATCACTAATGTTGTTTGTCTAGTATTTGTATTTTCTTATTTATTATAGATAAACAACGTAGTTGGAGGATGGATGGATTGCACCATAACGATCATATCAAATGGAGGTTGGTGGAATAGTGGTTGAAGCTATGCAA